CCAAAGAGTCCAAATTCGGCAAATCGTTTTGGAAAATCGATTTTAATCAAGAAATGCCAAACATGGACTGCTTTGCCAGATTTCAGAGTCGCCACCTAAATGTTTTGTTTTGGAAAATTTAGGAAACCCTGACTCGTGCCTAAGGCCACGTGTCTGTCATCACCAAAGTTGTTTCGGCTCGGGAACTTGGGTATGAGAGGGGAAGGTCATGCAATAAGCACCCCCACTCGCCCGATCAAAGGATCAGCCTTTACTAACATGATATGTTATTTTTTGAAAACACATGCGTTCTTATTCCAGTTATTAACCTAGAATTACTATGTAATGCGCACAACATACAAGTATAGACTAGATCGCCTAAGTTGGAATAAAACATTTCATGTTCATTTGTTTGAAAATGGTTTAGAGGTGCTACTCGCAAGTAGGCTAAGTCGTGGATTTTGCCACCCTCAAGTGGGCTTAGAAAAACATGATTTTGCCACTCTCAAGTGGGCTTAAAACACACATTTTGATTAATTGTTCCAATTCAAGCAATCCAACCTTCACCCACAGGCATTCAAGCAGTTAATCACTTAAGCAGTTAGCCTCGTGGCAAGCATGCTAGACATGGCAGTCGCTTACACACATGCAAGGATGCTAAAGCGAAAACACTCACAGTATACTTCGAGCCAAAGCAGAGAGTTAGTTAGAAATCATGCATGATCCTAGTTCATGTGAAGATGGCTAATGCAACACATGCAAAAATGCAACTAAGATAGGCTCGACTATTCTAAGATGTCATGTGAATGTAGCCTGGTTAACATGTATTCAAATTAGAATTGAAATACAATGTAATTTGTATGATGCACCGAGCCCGGTGCATGCAAGACAGATGAATGGATGCACGCATGCAAGCATAAGGTATGCTAATGAAATATGCCCTAATCTAACCATTATAAGAGGTTAAGTAAAAGGGAGAAAAAAATGGGGTTTGAAAGACATGCATCACACACACACGCTTATTACAATAGTTGTGCCCTCTTAACATAGGGTCCGAACAATAAGCTAACTAGCTATGCTAATTAAACTAATTATTACAAAACAACTAATTAACTAACTTGGCTAATTAATTATTACAAAAATTTAACTAATTAATCAAATTAATTAAATTACAAAACCAAATAAGAAACTACATAGGATGCCACAGCTCTGCCTCGGAATGATGAATGATGCATGCTTGGTCACGTCCTCCCGGAAATCCACCACCGTGCCTCGTATTGCCTCTGTTTGCACTGTTTTAGACTTCTGAAAATTGTGTCAATCTCCAAAACACTTATGATCCACCTTATGTACAATCCGAGAAGTGGTCGGCCAAGAGGAATGGCCATCGACCAAGTGTAATGGCCATCGGCCAAATTTTATAGCCGATCGGCAGACTAATTAGTCGATCGGCCACTGTTTCCTGCAAATTCTTCCTTTTGCTGCAACAGAGCACTAACAAAGGCATGGCAGTGTATTTACAAGAAAATGTGTGTGCAACTACACCCCTTATCATGTCTTAGCTCAAAAGAGTGTAGTGCTCGGCTCTCGAGCCATCAATCACGCATCTCGATGCATGATGGCCAAAGAGGCCAAGTTGCACAAGTCAATGGCAAATGAATGCACAAAAACACATAAATGCCTTAACCTCTATCATGCTTAATCAAGAGGGTTGGCGACCGAGAATTGAGGCACGTTTCATCACTTCAAGTATGAAACGTCCCTTGTTCCTCCTGTTTGGATTGACACCCTTTCTAAACACAATGCAAAGCACACAACATGGAAATGCAATGCAATGCAACGTAAGCATGCCAAATGCAATGCAACTCAAGTATGCACACATGAGCAATTTATCAAAGCTAATGGCATTCAAACTCTATTGAATGCAACCTAAGCATGCGATCAACAAATGCAAACCACATGCAATGCAAACAACATGCAAGATGGACAAATCGAATATGAACAAACCTTAATCATGTCCAAAACAGTGGCCATTAGTGCTAAAACAATGGCATGAAAAGCATGAAAATGCATGCAAATGCATTGTCCCATCAACTAGGCCTAAGAGCACAACTCTCAAAAGTACTCAAGGACTGAAAAATGTAAGAATATAGCCACACTATATGCTCTGAAATTAGGTATGAAATGATGCCAAATCATTCAATCAACAAATGCATGGCATGCTAGAAGGCTCAAAGCTTGAAGCTAGCACAGGCACTTGCACTATAGCTATATCAAACACGAAGCATATGGCCAAGACAACCCAAAACAGTCCTAGAACATGTCAAAATGAGACTAAAATATGCATGGAAGGAAGCCAAAATAAGCTAGCATGGTGAGCATGAAGCATGAAATATGCAAGGCCAAAAGGGAGGATTACACTACACCTATTAAGACCAAGCATGAGATGGCTTCACCAACAAAAATCAGAGTTATATCATGGCCAAATAACCCCAATAGCACACTGAAATGATAGCTCGCAAGCTTAGGCATGAAGGCATACACAAAGGCTCATGTTTAAGGCATAAAGAACCAACCTTCCAAAGCATGGAAAAGAGTGACAACATGCAAGTGTAGTGACCACACTACCATGCATAAAATCACATATGAAACTGATCCAAATCATGTGAGAGAGAGCCAAGCAAATGCATGCCTAGTGGCTTGGGAAACTCAAGGCTAATGAGCTAGAATGAACCATGGCTATACAAAGCAATGCATGCATGACCAAAACAACACAAATCAGACCTTAAGCTTGGTAAAACATGGCCAAAAGCTTCTTGGAGTTAAGCCAAAAACATGCTAGAATGATGGTCCAAACACATGATGCATGTTAGGCTATTATGCAAGATTGCGCTACAAGTACGTAAAGCGTGCAAGATGCTATCAAACTAACCTAAAATAGAGTTGAGGCATGCTAAAATAACACCAAAAACTTGCTGAAATGGAACCAATACATGCTAGACAAACATGCTACTTTGATGAGCCATCTATGCAAGCATGCAAGACACAAGGAGAGGGGATGACCCTCTCCTATTCAAGACCTCAAAATACACTTTCCACCACTGAAATTCCAAGAGGTGGCCCAAAGCAAGGCAAAACAAGGCACAAATAGGGGTAGACCACCCCCAACACCAACAAGACCTTAAACAATCATTTCAAACACATGAAAATGAAGCTTTTTACATTTGAAAGTTAAGCCAAAATAAGCATGCAAATAAGGCTAAGCAAGCAATGAACACAAAACTTAAAAGAGGGTTAGTGACTCACCCTTGTAGAACAACTTCAAAGAGGCAACTCCAGCAACTTTCTGAGCTAAAAACCAAACTTTGAGTTCAAACAAAACCCCCTCAGCAACAAGAGTATGGTGTTTGAGTAGGTGCTTTAGTGCAAAAGTGTGAGGAAATTACACTTTTGAGCACAAACAAGTGCAAATATAGAGAGAGGAAGGAATATAGAGAGAGATTGATATATATCTTGTATATCAAATTTCAAAACCTCTGGAAAGGAAGAGGGGTCTCCCTTTTTATAGAAAATCCAATCTCAAGCTTGTTGAGCAAGCTTGAGACTTGATTCAATCCCTTCATACACGTGTATGGAGGATGAAATCTGTGCTCACCAGCTGTCACAGCTGGCACAAAAATATCTGTAAAAGCAAACAAAAAGGCCTCGGCCAAAAGATATGGCCGATAGTCCAAAAAGAGTGTCGATCGGCCAGAGTCGTTAAGATGGCTCCGCCTAGAATCGTTCAGCTGATAAGCGTTGTGCCATCAAGGAGTCTTGAACTGCGGAATTAGGCTAAACGAGACAAAAGGCGTGACTCGCGTCGATCGAGTGATCAGTGTTTACACCTATCAAATGAACAATATCAGGTGGATAACAGGTGCACGAGATACTCGGAAAAAAAAGTACACGAAGTTAAGAGAGCCGATCAGCAAGATTTTGTTGAAAGTTTAACACTTTCCGTTCTTTAAATGGCCTCCCAAAATGATGGGACCTCTCGATACAAGGAGAAAGGACAAACAGTGCGAGTACCACAAGGGCCATGGTCATGACACCGATAGTTGTTATGCATTGAAGAACCACCTGGAGAAACTGGTACAAGACGGCCGGCTGGCGCAACACGTCTGAAAGAATAATCAATCGAACATGGTAGCCCTACGGCCGGATTCACCTCCACTTGGTGTGATTCACATGATATACAGCCTGTCGTCGTCAGCCGAGATACAGACAATTTAGTTGCAACCTAGCTTGCATAGGCCAATCACACCAGCAAAACGGCCCCATGAGACTGGGAGGATTAGTTTTGATGACACTGACTTGGTTGGGTTAACTCTCCCCCACACCGACCCCCTCGTCATCGAGTTACGTGTGAACAGATTCACTATTGAACATGTTCTCATTGATCAGGGAAGCACTTCGGAAATAATGTATTACAAAACGTTTGTCAAACTCGGATTCACCGACTCAGATTTGTCGTCGGCTGATTACCCATTATTCGGCTTCAATGCTAATCCCGAGTATCCTTTGGGTAAAATCACACTACCAGTTCAGGCAGGCACCAGATCAGTAGATGTAGAATTTCTGGTTGTCAAACTTCCTTCACCATATAATCTCATCATGGGAAGAACTTGGTTGCATACCATGCAAGCTGTGCCGAGCACCTACCACCAATTACTTCATTTTTTGATTGAGTATGGCGTTGAACAAATTCGGGGTTCTCAGAAATAGGCACAGGCATGCTACCTTGTTGCTGCTACAAGGAGACCAAAGGAACTGGAAGTGAATTTGATTGAAGTACCAGATCGGGAGAGCCTCGAGGATATTAGGAAGATCCCCAATGAAAAGGCAACTGAAGACCTAGATTGGGTCAAGATTGATGAGAGTCCTTCATGATCGGCACTTCCTTGAACGAAGTTGACAGACATGAGCTTGTATCCTTTTTACTCGGCAACCTCGACGTGTTTACGTAGACACCATACAAGATGCCAGGGGTGGATTCATTTGTGGTCCAGCACCGCTTAAATGTTGATCCAAAATGTAAGCCAATCATTCAAAAAAGTCGGCGGTTAGCCCCGGAGCATTCTTCGGCTGTTGTTGAAGAGGTTGACCGATTGTTGGAGGGTGGGGAAATTTGCGAAGTAATCTATCCTACATGGTTGTCCAATACCATGGTTGTAAAGAAGAATAAAGGATCTTGGCACGTTTGTGTGGACTTCACGGATTTAAACAAAGCTTGTCCCAAGGACTATTTTTCCCTTCCCAGAATAGACCAACTTGTAGATGCAACGGCACATCATTAACGCATGAGCTTCTTAGACGCCTACAGAGGCTATCATCAAATTGCCATGTATCCGGAGGATCAAGAAAAGACTGCATTCCTCACCCCAAGAGGAACCTATTGTTATAAGGTCATGCTTTTTGGGCTAAAGAATGCGGGGGCAACTTACCAGAGACTGGTTACTGCCATGTTCAATGAATAGCTTGGCCGCATCATGGAAGTATACATCGACGACATGGTGGTCAAATCTAAGGAAAATCATGCCCACTTAGCCGACTTGGCAGATACATTCGGCATTTTTTGAAAGTACAAAATGAAATTGAACGCCTTAAAGTGTGCATTCGGCATTGGATCTGGAAAATTCCTAGGCTACATTGTGAACCACCGCGAAATAGAGGCCAACTCGAGACAGAAAATAGCAATTCTAGAACTTGGCTCTCCTCAGTTGGTTAAAGAGGTTTAGAAGCTGATGGGAATGGCTGCCGCGCTCAATAGATTTATCAGCCGTTCCACAGATCGCTGTCGACAATTCTTTCACATACTTCGGCAAGGCAAAGATTTTGAATGGACTCCCGAGTGCCAGGCTGCCTTGGACGGCTTGAAAACTTATCTTTGATCAGTACCACTCCTGGAAACCCCTTTGGCAGGCGATCCGCTCATATTGTATCTGGCGGTATCTGACCGGGCGGTCAGCGCCGTACTTTTAAGGGAGGAACTCAGGGAGCAGCGACCAATTTCCTATGTAAGCAAAGCAATGGCCGATGCAGAAACACGTTATCTACCAATGGAAAAGCTCATCCTTGCTCTCGTTATGGCTGCAAGAAAACTAATGCATTACTTTCAGGGGCATACCATAGGTGTACTAACGGACTATCCCCTCCGGTTGGCGCTCTATAGCGCAAAAGCATTAGGGCGCGTTTCGAAATAGGCTTTGGAACTCGGCCAGTATGAATCCATTTTTTGCCTAGAACTGCCATTAAGGGGCAAATACTTGCCGACTTTGTAACCGAATTCACGGGATGCCTTGCCGACTTTAAGTCCGAACAAGTGCAACCTAAACCCAACTAGAGAATATATGTTGGAGACATTTGGCAGTTGTACTATTATGGGTCATCCAACCAACGTGGCAGTGGGGCAGGCGTAGTAATCATGATCCCCAAAGGGGCAATAATCAAACAGGCGGCTAAACTGGGCTTTAATGCATCAAATAATGAGGCCGAATACGAAGCATTGCTGACCGGCCTTTAGAACGCACTTCACCTCGGTGCACGGCGGTTTCTTGTTTTCTGTGACTCGAAACTAATCATCAACCAGTTGAAAGGTGATTATGCAGCTAAAAATGACCGCATTGCAGCCTATATGACAATGGTGAATTCCTTGCTCGCGAAATTCGACCACTACGAATTGAATCAAATAACCCAAGATCAGAATACGCATGCGGATGCCCTTGCTTTCCTAGCCTCTGCCATCAATTCAGAAATCAAACGGACAATCGAAGTAGGATTCATTCCTGAGCCGAGCATTACCTCTTCTGAACTAGTTCAGATTAATGTCATTGAACCAGAACCAAGTTGGATAGACCCTATCGTTGCATTCCTTTCCTCAGAACAACTCCCAATGGAAAAGAAGGAAGCCCACAAACTGCGAAATAAAGCCCTGAGATACTACTTGGACCCGCAAGGAAAGCTTTACAAAAAATCCTTCTCTGGACTGTACTTAAAATGTGTTCACCCAGATAAAGTTGAGGAACTCTTAACTGAAATACATGAAGGTAGCTGTGGTGCCCATTCTGGAGGACGCTCATTGGCCCACCGAGCCGTAACACAAGGATATTATTGGCCGACCATGCGAACAGATGTTGAGAATTATGTCAAGAAATGATAACAGTGCTAGAAGTTTTCCCCTTTAACTCATCTGCCAGCTGAGGAGTTAAACTCTATCACCAGTCCTTGGCCGTTCGCTCAATGGGGACTCAATATTGTCAGACCACTACCACGAGCTCCAGGAAACAAGCGATTCCTGATTGTCACTACAGATTATTTTACAAAATGGGTTAAAGTAGAGACATTAACACATATTCAAGATATTGATATTAAGCGTTTTGTATGGAAAAACATCATAACACGATTCGGCATACCAAGAGCACTCATCTCAGACAACGGCACCCAATTTGATTGTGGTGTCTACCGAGAATTATGCAACACATATGGTATCCAGCCTTACTTTTCCTTGCCAGCATATCCACAAAGCAATGGTCAAGCAGAGGCGTCCAATAAAGTCATCCTAGACGGCATCAAGAAAAGGTTGGAAAAAGCTAAAGGTAAATGGGTCGGAGAGTTGCCCAGGGTGTTGTGGGCTCATCGCACTACTCCAAGGCGGTCCACTTGGGAAACGTCGTTCATTTTGTGCTTTGGAACCTAGGCAATTATTCCCCTAGAGATCGACCTACCTACGATGAAATCCAAGGCTTTTGACATGGGCCGTAATGACATGATGTTGGCCTTAGACTTGACTCTGATTGAAGAGCGCCGAGATTGTGCCCTTGCTTGCATGGGGCGGTATCAGCAACAGCTTGCTAAATCATATAATCAACACGTGCAATTGCATCGTTATACGCCTAGAGAATTGGTCCTCAAGAAAGTACTTCCTGCTACTAAGAATCCGGCAGATGGAAAATTAGGCCCCAACTGGGACAGCCCTTATCAGGTTGATTCAATCACCAGAATTGGGGCATATCGGCTCAAAGACATGACTGGGAGAAGTTTGCCACGCCCCTGGAATTCCACACATTTGCGCAAATTTTATCACTTAGCCACTTGTACGGCACGCTAGTTTGTTTCAAATTTTTGCTGATGTTATGCATAGATCTTTCAATTTCCTAGTATAGTGCCATTTCTTATCGCAATCTCATTAATAATGGTTTAATAACGAATATAAGACTCCAAATTCGAAGCCCCATCCGTGGATGCCACATTTGGGCCGAATAAGCCTCCGAATTCGGAGCGCCCTTCGTAGATATCACGATTGGCCAAGACAATAAGACTCCAAATTTGGAGCGCCCTCCGTGGATGTCACATTTGGGCCGAATAAGCCTTCAAATTTGGAGCGCCCTTCGTGGATATCACGATTGGCCAATACTAAAGACTCTGAATTTGGAGCCCCATCCGTGGATGCCACGTTTGGGCCGAATAAACCTACGAATTCAAAGCGCCCTTTGTGGATATCACAATTGGCCAAGACAATAAGACTCCGAATTCGGAGCGCCCTCCGTGGATGTCACGTTTGGGCTGAATAAGCCTCCGAATTCAGAGCGTCCTTCGTGGATGTCACGATTGGCCAGCACTAGTCCCTTCCATTTATAACCATGAATAATCTTCCGAATTCGGAGCACTTTTCATTTATAACCACGAATGGCCGAGTAATCCTCTGAATTCGGAAGGACCAAAATTGGCGATATAATGGTATGGATCAGTATATGATTACGACAAGTAAATAAAAACATTAATCGAAACAATATAGCAAATGTTTATTTCATTAAATAAAGCATAAATACATGACTCTCGACAAACTTAAAGGGTACAATGTGTATCAACATAAATTTATTCAGCACCCTCTTCGTCATCGGTCTGCTCGGTGTGATAAGCTTCGAAGGGAAATTTGTAATTTTGATATAGAGGTGACGCCGAATCGATACCCACAGCCTGCAAAGCCTTAGTCCATCCATGCTTAAATCCATGATTTTCGCATCGACAGACGTCCTCAGCTAATTTTTCTTTCGTCTTATCAATACCAATTTTCTAGCAGTCAAAAAAGCCTTAATTGTAGGCCTTCGTTCTTATTGCTTCTCTTGCGTACATGCTCGCTGTAGACACCCCATTTTTGACTGCCCTTAAGACTTGGGCGTCACTGATTGCTTACTTGGTGATGAAAGTTGTGCAGTGCAAAGGATCGATTTCTTCGGCAAGGAGAGAGTCAAATCCCAACCTTACACCCTAGTTGTGGACCAAAACTATTTTGACCAAATATTTTAGACCTTAAAACCCTCTCTTTCAAAACATTTTTGAAAGAAGTTTCTATGATGTTCCGAGGCTCGCATTTCGTTAAATGTTGCGCTTTTCGGTAAACCGAGCAAGAACAAAGTGGAAATGAATGAAAGAGAGGTGAAATTTTTGAAAAATCTTTCAAAACACCTTATTTAGGGGTTTGGGGTTGAATAAAAGAGGAGAGGAGGGAAGAAAACTAGCTGAGGAGAAGTTAGGCATGAATCCGGTTGGACCGAAACTGAGCAGTCTTCACTAAAAAAAGAATATCTCTTATCATACTTGGAATTTTGATATGAGGCTTCCACCATTGGAAAGAAGACTTCCCGGGATTCAATTTAGGCACAAGAATGACCTTTAAAGGAGTCCAGATGAAGGAGATATGCCCATTTGAAGTTGGACCTAGAGAGCAGATTTTTCTGCCGGCCACTGGTGAAGAGTGCTGGCCATGGATGATGTAGTGCTAGCCATTGATGATCAGTCTCAGCCACAAATGAACCTATGACGTCCATCAATGATGGTTGGCTGGCCACTGATGTCAAAACTCATTTTTTTTGCAGATATTTACCGCTAGCTGTTTCCACATTGCTCCAACTGTCCTGTATTCAGATATTTCAACCTGAAGCTCATATATTGCTATATATGGAGGCCATTCTCTATGGTTTTAAAGGTTAGCAAAAGTTTGGGAGCCTCTCTCTCTAAAACCTCTCTCTCTAGATTTCTTTCTCTCTAGAGCTTTTGTGCTTAGAAGCTTACATACATCAAACTTTAGCCTATACATCTTTGACCAAAGTGGTTCATCTTTGGGTTGAGGTTTCTTGAAGCTCTCTTGGAGCCTCCTTTGAGCTTTAGAAGGTGTTTTAAGCTCAGATTTGTGCCTAAAATTGTGTTGTGCTTCAAGAGGTATAACTCTCTCCCTTTAAGCTTGTTTTTCATACTTGCTTTTCTATCTTTTTCCACCATTTCAAGGCTAGTTTTGGCATGTAAAAAGTTATGTTTTTCAGTCCTAAAAGTGGTGGTTTGAGCATTTGTGAGTTAGGGGGTCGTCCCCCTTTTTGTTATTTAGCTTGTTAAGCTTTTTGCACCATTTCTCATCACCTTCAAATCAAACCTTTTGGGCCCTTTTACCACTAAAACTCAGAGGTTTTTCAGTGACAAAAACCATGTTTTGAAGTCCAAAATAGGAGGGGTTGGCCTCCCCTCCTTGTGTCTTGTTTGCATGAGTAGATAGCCTAACATGTGAGCATGTTTTTCTACCATTTTATGACTTGATATCAGCATGTTTTTGCTACTTTTTTGACTTGTTTTACCTCTATTTAGGGCTGGTTAAGTCACTTGAGGCTTGCTTTGTATGCTTGTAGTGCAATGGTGCTTAATAGTCTAGTTTGTGCTATGTATTAGCCTCTCATTCTCGCTCTTTTTAGCCTACTTCAAACATGTTTTAGGACTCCTATTAAACTGTTTTAGGACTGTTTTAAAATGTTTGTCCCTTGTGAGCTTTATATTGCATGGCTATAGTGTAATGACCTTCACTAGCTCATTGCTTAAAGGCTCTAAACTTGATTTGCTTGAGATGCTTGCATGTTATAGCATCATTTAGCATGTTATTTCAGTGCATATAGCTTTGTCACACTCTCACATATTTCACTCTTTCATTGCTTTTGAGAGTTGTGCCTTGAGCCTTGTTTGTAGCGTAACACATGAGCATGTTTTTCTTGCCTTCTATGCTACCATTTCAGCATGTTTTAGCCACTGTTTTGGCATATTTAAGCTCTGTCCAGAGCTGGTTTGGTCATTTGAGCTTGATATTGTATGCCTCTAGTGTAGTGCTCTTCACTAGCTTTAATGCTTTTGGCTCTTAACATGTTGTACATGTGTTGCTTGCATGTTGTAGTGTTGTTTTGCATGCCATTTCAGCACTGAAAAGTCTGTAACCTCCCTCATTTCTTCATTTTTTCATTTGCATTGAGGTTTGTTTAATCTTAAGGTTGTGTTTAAGCTTGAGATAGAGCTTGTGCTTAATGGTTTTAGCCTTATTTTGAGGGTTTCTACTAACCAAAGGCATGGTCTCTCTCATGTCTTAAGCCATCTTTTGGTTGACCCCTCTTTCATTAGAGGACACTCACCTTGGACAAATTGACTAAAGAATGGCTTAGTAAGGCTAACATGTGTAATCAAGAATTGGACAAGTAAAACATGACCAAGATAAGCATGTTGTGTTTGTATTGCATTGTGTTCAATCGGACGTTATATTGAATACAAGGTAGATTGGTCTATTTCATACTCAAAGTGATGAAATGAGTCAATCTCCCTTGTCTCCATCACCCTTGATCATGCATGATGGGGGTGGTGGTCTAGAGTCTTGTTTTGTGCATTGATTGAAAAAGTACAACTTGGATCTTTGGCCATCATGCATTGAAAATGCTTGATTGATGGTTTTGGATCCAAGAATGCCACTTCTTTGATGTTTTGAGATGATAATGAGAGGCATAGTACAAACATATCCTTGGAAAACCCTCCATTTTCCTCTGTCTGTGCTCTGTTGCAGTGTGGCAATTCAGCACACCAGTGGCTGGCAGTGCTTCACTCATGGCCGGTAGCACACCCTTTTGGCTAGCAGATAGCCAGCAACAAGCACTCATGGCCGGCAGGCCACTGGTGCAATCCTCAACATTGTTTTAGTAAGGTGGAGCAGAAAGTTCTTGGAGTAAGTTCAACCCTGCAAACAGAGCCTCTCAAGAGCAAACCGGTGGGCTTTTCGGAGCGAAAACCGAATGCATGCATGGCCAACTTCTTAAGGCAGAGCTGAAGCAGTATAGTTTAATGCTTTACTTGTTAGTTAGCATGATTTTGTAATTAATTAATTAGTTTGCTAATTAGTTAAGTGTTGTAATAATTAAGTAGCTTAGCTTAGCTTAGCTATTTCTTTATTTTGTTTTGTAATAATTAGTCTAATTAGTTTAATTAGATTAGTTTGATTAGCTTAGCTTAACATAGCTTAGCTTATTTATTCGGACCCTCCTTCGCGAGGGTGCAATGTTGTAATAAGTGTGCGTGCGTGTGTGCATGTCTTCCAACCCCACGTCTTTCTCCCTTTTATTTAACCGCTTTCAACGGTTAGTTTAGGGATCATATTTTGATTAGCATACCTTATGCTTGCACGTTTGCATCATTCATTCGTCTTGTATGCACCAGGCTCGGTGCATCATACAAACTGCATCGTATTTCAATACTTCTTTGAATACGTGTTTCAAAGCATGTTATCAAATTGTTGCATTCATATGCCATCTTAGGTAGCCGAGCCTATTAATTGCATATTGCATGTGTTGTATTAGGCATCTAACATAGTTAGGATCATGCATTGTTTCTAACTAGTTTTTGTTTTGGCTTGGAGTACACTGTAAGTTTTACGCTTTAGCATACTTGCATGAGTGTAAGTGTTGCCATGATAGCATGCTTGCCATGAGGCTATTTTCTTAAGTGATTAACTGCATGAATGCTTGTGGGTGAAGGCTTGGTTGCTTAAATTGGAATAATTCGATAAATGTGAGTTTTAAGCCCACTTTGCGAAGTGACAAATCATGTTTTAAGCCCACCCGAGGGTGGCAAATCCGCGTTTTAGCCCACTTGAGAGTGGCAACTTCAACTCATTTTCGAAAGCAAACATGAGTTGAAATGTTCTAATTCTTGCAATTTTAGTCTATACTTGCTTGTGTGCGCCACAGAGTAAAGTTAGCTAATAACCGAAATAAGAACACATGAGGTTTATAAAACGACATATCATGGTTAGTA